ATATTCTTTTCGTAATTTCACTTCAAAGCTGTAAAGTTATATGTATATATAGTGTTCTAAAATGTTAGGAGATTGCCTATAAAGATCAGTTGATAACATGCATATAAAATTACATGTTGGAAAAAATAATAAAATGCATAATCTAAAAATACTAAGTGATTAGTATCGTTCAGAAAGGATAACCATTATAGCTTCAATCGCTTGAAAAAAAGAGTATTTTCCATTAAAGTGAGAGTTTGAGAATGTAAAATACATTCTAAAATTAGGAGTTTGAAAAAAAGAATTAGAGGAAATATTTGTGTGACGACAGAAGTCAAGGGCCAGGCAACAGATCGTTTATTGAGAAAATCAACAGATATTTATAGATTTTTAAGTACATTATGATTCGCTATTATTAGCAGAGAAACAGCGTCTTCTGATTGGTTGTTTTCTTACTGAAAGTTGATCTGTCATCTCTTTGTGGTTGTTTCCTTGAAGGTCAGACCATATATCTGCGAATCGTATCCGCCCACGCGAATTCTACTGTGATTGGTTGTTGAGTCCTTCAGGTTTAGGCTTTGTTCTTGTTCTTTTCTCATGACCAAGATTTGGGACGTAAACAGTGACATAAAGTGCTGTCTACCAATTTTGGCTAGCGGAAAGCTCTCACCACAGTTGTAGAAGTTGAAATAGTAGGGAGGACAACATACAAAGCTTTTGAATACACAGTTCAAAGTATTCCTTGTGTTTAGGACAAGCTTCTGAAATGCTCATAAGATGTAGCCGGATAGCCTTCTAACAACTTGTCCATACCTTTTATAACACATTGAAAGATTTTTCTATTGATGTGTAATGATCTAAATGAACAGGCCGCTGAAGAATCGAGCTATGGTTTCAACTAATTTTTCATTTTGGCAAGTCCATTGGAAGATGTTCTTTGAAAGTCTACAGAATATCCTACTGTTACAGCCTTTGTACTTTGCTTCACAGGAGCAAATGCGCATAGATGCTAATTAATAAGGGGTTGCTTAGAGATGGTTAAAAGGAAAGATGCAGTGAAGAATCGCCGAAAATACCCATTGAGTCATGAAGAAAATAAAAGACAGATTCAGCGAAGAAAATTTTCTTTATCGACGAAATCATCTTCAGAGGCTGTACAATCGTATTTATACTTACAAAAATATATAGTGGTCTATTATTGAGTAATAGGGGGTGACATAATTGATATAATTACTCAGAAGTGGCTTTAGAAGTGAAAATTAGAAGTTGAAAATTACGTGGTACTCAACGGCAAAAAGATAGAAATTTGATAAGGTTAAAATTGCTATTAAGTGAGAATAAAGGTATTTGAGTGTCAATTTAACAAGTGTGAAGAGGGTGTGAAAATATACAAAAGGAACATATGAGAGTGATAATAGTGAATTAATTATTAAAGCAAAAGCTAAATAAAAGTGAAATTAGAATGAAAAGAAAAAATCAAAAAATTTTTTACTTACAAGGAACGATTAGTGAAGAGGTTAAGACCAAAGTAGAATAAGAGACTGGAAAAATGTTTTCTGTATACAGAGTTCAGGGTTGTATTGATGAATTGCTAGAGCCTCCGCCATACACAAAAGCCGAAACCTGACGCCCTTTGTACCATTTGGCTTCACTTTGTAGATGATCTTGAAAGACGATTCCGGTGGAGCTACGTGGCCTGAGTTCACCAAATGCTCGAGAATTGAGCTAGTAATTGTCTTGCACTGTCCCTTTGCAAACCATGCCGGATAATGCTCAGAGATGCGTTTGGAAAGCGTGCGCTTTGTGCGGCCAATTTAACTAGCTCCACAGCAGCAAGTGAAGAATGTTTTTTTTGTTGAACGTCTCTCGATAATCTGCTTCAAAGTGTTCCAGTTGTTTTCGAATTATTAGTAGCAGTATGCTGTCCAAGCATGTATCAACCGTAAGCACTCCATAGTTTGTAATATATTTGATAAATGACCTCTAGTAATAAGTTGTGCTGATAAAGAATCCTCCAAAATGATTAGCCTACAGGCTTTATCAATCAACATTGCGTACTTACCTTCACTATTTTGGCCTACTGGTTAAGTTGAAGGTGCATGGTCACACAGTAAAGAACATAAGAGCAATATATCAAGTAGTTTTCATACTTATACCTCATTTGCAATATTTTTTTGACCAAAGCTTGATTCCACACCGTATTTTTTGGTACAGGTATGGAATTTTCAGCATGTGATATCGGTAGCCTAAATTTTGCAGGCCGACCATAGATATCAGGTGTGCGTTGGCAGGGGATCGAACCCCGGACCATGTACATGGTCGGCGAGAGTCCTAACCACTGTGCCACCGACGATGCTTTGAAATGACAAAGGATATTTGAAAACCTGAATGATTTAGATTGAAATTTTCAAAGCAGCATAATCTAACCCATATCTCTAGACTTTCTCCTTCCTGATGAATAGCAAAGCTTCACATCATAACCAAGAAATACACTTGAGATTAACTGTCATCGTGAAAATTAGTCTACCAGTATTCATTGTGTGGTGAAAAGTTAAGAGTGATCATTATCATTTTTATATCTGACAGTTCAACGTGAAAAATCTGAGAAGAGTTTAACTTTCCCCACCAAAAGAAACATTTGCAGAAATAAGACAGAAGGGAAATATTTCTCTGAATAAGGCATTCAGAAGAAAAATTTCGCGAGATGATGGCATCATTTCGTAGTTTGTCTATAATCACTTTACAGCTAGCATGGTTCATAATAAATAATAAAATAAAAGGCATGACAATTACTCAGTTGTAGAGATCAAAAGTATGTACTAATGACCAATCATATTCAAATAGGTCAAATAGCCAGTTCATGGTGGGCGAAGACTGAAGTCTATTGTTTTTTGAACACATAGTTTAGGATGTATGTGATTGGTCCAATGTTCTTCCATCACCTTTAATAACCATGAATTAGAGTTATGTGAAATAATTGTGAAAAAGTCATTAATATTGATTTTCTGATCTGACATTAATAAGTGTTTTGTAATGGATGATGATGCGTTGGTGGCATAGCGGTTAGGACGCTTGCCGACCATGCACATGGTCCGGGATTCGATCCCCGGCCGACGCACTCCTTTACTTCACTAAGTCAGAAATGAAGCTGGTAAAGAGGAAAGGTTGCTCATGAGGCTAACAACCGCATCCTTTAAAAATAATCACCACTGCTACAGAAACTTCAAGTCTCTAGCTTAAAGTCCTATGTTCCACTGGGAACGTGAAGGAATTAAAAAAATGGGTGATTATGGATTTCTATTCAGATTAACTGCATTGGGATTTTCTACATGTTTTAATAACCATTTTGGAACGTGTTCTTTTCGACGACATTGGAACATTCTATTGGTTCTACCTATATAGGGTTCATACTGATTTCCATAATTAATTATTCTTTTGTAATCACCTCGACAGTAGTTTAGAGACATTAGCAACGATATGATTTTTATTGGGATTCATCAGTAATTTTCCAACATATGACTGGATAATAAAGTAAGGAGTTCATCTGTAGATAGTGCCTTCTACACACAAAACATTTATTGAAGTCTGTCCTTCTGTTTCCAAGCTTAGTCAAACAATTCTTCTATAAATAGTCGATCCTTACCACTCTTAATTATTTAACAACCTACATTATTTCTGATCAGTGTTACTCTCATTTCCAATCAATTACTCAAAATTATTGTAAAAAAAAGCATGTTCAGATCTTTAATTTAATTTATAATTTTGGTATTGCTCAGGTTGTAATCAGTTGAGAAGAATCCATGAAATAATAAAAAAGAGCTCAAATTATCCTGGTACATTTGCTGTCCTTGCTTTATTCAAATAACTGACAGATAAACGAATTTTTATACACAATTGCAATTCAAGGGCGATATACTAAGTGAAATAATTACGAAGAAATTAGGAAAATCAGTTCAAAGAACTTCTAATGCTGGCGAACTACACTTCTTATTCTCTACATGACCGATGGTGATTCCTCGACTGAAAGATGAAGTACCTAGACTAGCCACTTTAAACTGTATCTACCAATTGAACTGCGCTTTTGGTGGAGCGAGGTATATCGGCAGTTGCTCTTGGAACTCGATTTTTCGGGCTTGAGAACATCTCCCAGTATAGCTAAGTAAAGGTGTAGTAAAAAACATTAACAGTTCGATATTAGACCACCTGGTCCAAACCGGCTACAAATCCAGCATTGAAGAATCCTTCTCTATCACCTACTGGGTACCAAATAAATTGCCAAAAACATCGAGGTACCGCGTGGTCCAAACAACAGAGGCTATCGTGATTCGCGTGAAACAACCAGTGCTCTATGTGAAAAGAAACAAGTCCAGCCATTACCACCACCCTGGCCTTCAGTAGAGACCATAAATTTAATAATTCGTAATGTTATCTTCCCTAATTTTTCTGACATTCAGTTTATTTTTATGTTGATGCTATTGAACTGTAATCTATTTATATGATTGATCCGATGTTTTTTAAACATTAATGTTGTTGATAATACTAATTCATTCATTCACTATAATGTATATATAACTTTAGAGCCTGATGATGAAGTTATCGAAAAGAGTACTCTTTGTTCAGTATCAGTTCTTTTGAGAATTTTTATGACTTAATTTTCTGACTGATAGGATTCAGTTTGCACCAAGAATTAGATGCATAACATCAGTTACTACTTAGTGTCCCATCAAAGTTGCCATTACAGTCTTTCAGAAAACGTTAATCACAAGCCCGAGTATCTCAGTCGTAACGTCTCTAACTGCATCACTGAATGACGTGAGTTCGAATCTCAGAAGGGACATAAGTTCCTTCAAGCTGGTTGCAGATATGCCTTACTGACTGGTCAGTGTCGTTAAGCACGAAACCCAGGTTAGACAAGACTTCTTACCGATAGCCTCCATCCATCTAACAACAGTTTTAGTGCCTTCTAATAATTTTATAGATAACTGTCATGAAAATACTTCTATACATCAAACTATACTTACATTTTGTAATAAGATGCATAGATCCTCTCTAGCGTGTTTTTAAAATATGAAACATCATCTAATTATAAAGTAAGTAAATATTCAATATATTTAACTCGACTCGAATTTGTTTAACATCACAATTAAATGTAAACATATTTGTCCAAATTTTAAATACTATCCACAATTTATGATTGGATAGATCTCATAAATAAATATAGATACATTATAAATAAGAGTTATAGAAATAAATCACTTTAGGACATTGTATTGTTTATATTCCTGATTTGTATTGTTCATAACGCATAAAATTAATTATGTATTCTGTGAAATAATAACCTTCATCAATAGATTATAATTGCATCTATATTTTGATTGGATGAAAAAATTAACCAATCCGCTGTCAGACTTTAATGGGTCATTTCAACAACTATTTTTAGGAATTGGTTTTGTAGGGATTTTTGTTTGATTGCATGGAGGATTTTATCATGAGCTGACATCAGTTAGAGAACCATTGGAAAACCTGTAGCGAGTACTGGACAGCTGCTTCGTCCTAGTTAGGGACTCTTCAGCAGTACATACCCACCGGCGTTCGAACCCAGGACCTTCTGGTTACAAGGCCAGCTCGTAGACCATTGAGCCACTATTTTTAGTTAAACAGCGTGTTCCCTTGATCGTTTTCGTCAAAACGAGAAGGAGAAAATTTGTAGTATAAAATGTGCACATTTAATTTTGAGGCTTCTCTTCAACCACAGACAGCCTGAAACACAAATAGTACTAACCAAAACAAGAGCATGCGTGTTTCTATTCTGTTGGCGGAAATTCGGCACGCAGATAGTAGTTTTTAAGGAAATAACAATGGCTGAATTGTGATCACATACTCATTTGCAAATAAAAGGAAAAGAAAGTGGTTATGTATCATACGTTTGGAAGAATATTCGAGAAGTTTTGTTAGCTGACTTAACAACAAAAAACACTAATGTATCAGCAATATACAAGAAGAAAGGATTACGTAATGCCATGCGAGTAAGCTCTTGGAAGTGGTTTGAAATCAGTTATATGAGTTAAGACCAATGGGTTAGAGAGGAACCATAGTGACAGTAATAATTAAAGTGGTAAGAAATAAAAAAACGGAATATCTAATTATGTAATAATTTTTTTTAATGTTAAGCGAAGATTAATCACTGTTTCTTTCTGTTTACCTAAATTTGATTTGAATTACCTCATTTCAACAGACTCAGCGAATTGAAGGAGAGTTAAATTTCTTTGCTCATTGATAATGGTGAATACAGTCTGAATATCCACTCTTTGTTCCGATTCGATTAGATGCCAGAGAATAGAAGTGATAAGGAACTGGGGATCTTTGAGTCTCTGGTTTTTTGAGAATGTGTTTTCAGAGACGAATGGATGCCCATCTTTCTGTTCTTCCAATATACTTGCTCTGGAATGTACATGTGAATTTATAATCACAGTTGGGGGTGACTTCAGATGGGTACCTGCTCAATTTCGATTGATAAAGTGTACAGCAAGTGTAGTAAACGAGAACAAGTCTACTCGCCAGTACGTTGTAGCAAGGAGAACTCTTAGTCTCTTGTATTTATGGAGTGATACATCATCTCACTTAAAGGTAAGATAGATGAACATGGGTTTCTTCTAGACTGTAACAACGTCCTTATTATAACTGCAATTTTTCTCAAACCGTCTTATGAATTTCCTTGAAAAACTGTTTTCAGACAATCGCTTTGAAAGGACATCCAACACTTCATGCAGTCTACTTTCAGAGGAAATTTTACGCGCTCTGTCAAACAGCGTCCTCACCAATCCTTGTTTATATTTTATTGGACAAAAACTAGAATATTTTAAATACTGCGCCGTTCAGGTCTTCTAGCGTTATATTACTTTCATGAATGTGGCATTATCTCGTTTTCTCACAGATAAATTTTGATTTTCGTGTTCGTATTCCATTGTAAAACTAATGTCTCAATGCGCATTATTGAAGCTATGGAACCATCCGCAAGAGTAATTCTGTAACGACAGACGACAAGGGCCAGGCAACAGATCGTTTATTGAGAAAATCAACAGATATTTATAGATTTTTATATACATTATTATTCGTTATTATTAACAGAGAAACAGAGTTTTCTGATTGGTTGTTTTCTCACTGAAAGTTAATCTGTCATCTCTTTGTAACCATTTCTTTGAAGGTCAGAGCATATATCTACAAATCGTATCCGCCCACGCAAAGTCTGCTGTGATTGGTTGTTGAGTTAGTCTTTGTTCTTGTTTTTTCCTCATGACCAAGATTTGGGACGTAAACATTGACGTAAATTGCTGTCTTCCAATTTTGGCTAGCAGACAGTCCTCACCGCAATTCATGTCCTTGCAAATCAAGAACGTATCATCCCCATACTTTGCATAACAAAATTAGTTTTTTCGTTGCAAGATTTGTAGCGGTAGATAATTCCCCATAATTATTGGCCACAACATTCATCACTGAACATTGGATGCCGACACTCAGTGTTTAAGTCGATTGTCTAGCTGAAGGCTTACGGTCAAGCATCCTCGCCATTTGGCGCGCCGTCGTGTTACGTTCGTTCGTTCGTTCGGGCACGATCCCTAGCAGTCATCTCGCATCTTCATAATCTGGAGGATCAATCCTGGTGTTTTGTTTTGCCTTTCGACTACGCGGAATGAATACCATGGAATTTGCGGGTATTAGATCTTCCGTTTATATACTTTGTACTATCCGTAAACGTCAATACCTTCAGCCTCTAAAATTTCATTTCGCTTGCTACTAGGTTTTTCATGAATATATCAGCAATATCCATTGACTACAAGACTATTTAGAATGACTGAATTAAGCTGAACAGTAGTCATCGGGTTGACATCTAAATTTAATCAGTTTTTAGATTTATGACCTCACTAATCGCATTTCGAGCTGTCAAATGTGAAAACCATTGATTGATTGACTTGAAATGTCTACTAAAAATTTTAAAAAACTAATAACTAGTGGACATAGAATATTCTTCTCGACAACTTCGTCGTCAAGTTCTAAAGTTATATATTCATAATAATTAAAGAATTATCATTAACAACATTAATGTTTTAAAAAACACAGAGAATAACATCATCTCACAATGACAGGCAAATATTGCGTGTTTTATTGACCTAATTTAACAATTCATAGTGCCAAAGTTCTTACACAGTCCGATCATGATTCTAATGTTCTTCTATTCCCCACAGGTCACTGGTTTGAAAGAGAAGCAGTGGAAATGCCAAATAATGCATCCGTCGGCGGGTATTCTTAATCAGAGGCACGACAGAAGTTTGAGGTAAGTTGTGAAATATAATTCGAATGACTTAATTCACTGAACAGAGATATTCAGCTATCAAATTCACTTGCGAAGAATTCCAAAGTGGAATTGCCTTCTTAGACGTCCTACTTACAAGAAGACTAAATGGTAGTATTAGGAAAAAATTTTCAGAAGAAAAGTACTTGGGCAAGACAATAGGCATTTTTGCATAACTTTATTCGTATTCAGGACCAAAGCTATTTGCAAAGACCCTCAGCTACAGAGTCAGGGCTATTTTTACAGAAGGTCTAGTAGAAGATGAACTTAAAGTTGTATACCAAAAGTTAATTGAAAATAGCTACCCTGAAATGTTCATCATGAAACACATGACCAAGAGAACAGGAAATAATTCTATATCCGCCAACGAGAAGCCTATATATATATGCGACTGCTATTCAAAGATGATTTACCAGGCGAAATAATAACCGACAAGTTGAGAAGGTCGATTCGAAGGACTTTTAATACCAGTAAGGTGCAATCCACATTTTCTCCACGAACGGCAAAGTATGACAAAGTATCTAGACTAGCCATCTCTTATTCTACCTATCAATTCAACTACCCTTGTTGAGTCAATTATATATTGGCTGTTGGTGTAAGAAATTAATTATTCGTGCTCGAGAAAACCTACTACTGTGGCTAAATAAAGATGTAGTAAAAACCATCCACAGTTCTGTATTAGATCACTTTGTTCAAACAGGCTGCAAAGTTAGCCCTGAAGAGTCATCTTCTATCATCTTTTGAATACTGAATAAATTGCCCAAGACTTTCATTATTACTGTTATTATTATTCCCTTGGGTTCCTAGTGGAACATAAGGCTTCAACTACACGTCTCCACTTGTTTCTGTCTTCTGCTGCACTTTTCACCTGCGTCCATGTTAATCCATACTGTTTCAATTCCTCTTCACGCCATCTCCTCCATGTCACCCTTGCACTGACGTCCCACTCGCCGCTTCCCTTTCGGGTTCCACTCGACCGCTGGCCTGACGCGCGATGTCGCCCAACGGCCTCCTCAGCGAGCGTCCAATCCATACACTTTCTCCTGCATATTTGTTGGGCGATTGGTTCTTGTTTTGTTTGTTCCCATAGTTTCTTGTCGGTGATTCATTCCGGCCATCTGATCTTCAGTATATAACCAAGAGAGCTGTTGATAAAAGTCTGCAACCTGTTGGAAATATTCTTTGTGACCCGCCAAGTTTCTCATCCATATAGAAGAACTGACTTGACGTTTGTATTGAAAATCCGAATCATTTTGTTGTTGATGCAGGCTGAGTGACGAAGATTTCCAGATTGGTTTCAGGTTGATGAATGTGTTTCTCGCCATCCCGATTCTCGATTTGACATCCTCGTCCGTTCCTCCTGTAGTTGGGACAATGCTCTCTAGATAAGTGAATGAAGTAACCTCTTTCAAATCCCTCCCGTTGATGGTGATTGGTGCTGGATGTTGCTGCTGCTGTTGTTGTTGTTGTTGTTGGTTGGTTATTTTCATAACCTCCGTTTTGTCTATGTTCACCTGGAGTCCTGTCTTTGCTGCTTCTTCGACCAGTTTGTCGGTTTTCGCTTGTAGCCCAAGACTTTTAATTACAGAATACTCCAAATAGCAGAAGTCGTTGAAATTTGTGTAAAACAACCGGAGCTCTGTAAGCAAAAAGGAACAGTTCCAGACACTGTCACTACCCTGACTCACTGTGGAACCTTTAAATTCACAGCTTCTATATTATTT